TATCATTGGGATATAAAATATTATATTTTGTTGCACTTCACTATAAATTACGCTTACATAACTTAAATACTTCTAAAGTATTTGACACGTGAAAATTAGATTAGATTTTGATTAAATTTGTATTATTTAAAAAAACCTTAAGATTTAGGTATTATAAACCTTATTAAAACAGACACTTATTTTGTTCAGCAAATCCAAAAATGCAATAATATACAGGCCATTCCATTAAAAAAAAAAACGCAACTTCGATACCTTTAGAGCCTTTGGGACACCCTGTGCATTACAAACATATTTTTAAAATGTGCGCTCGGTAGGCGTCGGACAATTCATAAAATAATACTTTTTAAAAATCAAACGGTTTAGCCGCAAACTTCCGTGCCGTATAGCGTAAATAACCCTGTATAAAGACAAGCGCACGGTTCTCGGTCGCTCGGACAGTCGTTCCATTAGACCAGTCGTGTAAATATAATAGTGTGTAGTCTATGGGCCGTTCGTGTGTTCGTGAAGTCTGTTTTGGACCTCTTCCCTAACATTCCAGAAAACTTCACCGGGAATTGCTCGGCATTCTGCTACAATTCGACTTTCAAGATAATCAATATCAGCAGGTTGTGTTTGATAAACAATGGACTTAAGATGTCCCCAAAAACAAAGTCTAAGGGTGTTCAATCCTGTGATCTTGGAGGCCATTCAATTGATCCCCTACTGCCAATCGATCTAACCGGGAATATCTTATCAATGTTAGGGAGAGTTCGAAGATATACTTTATTATTGTTTACAGGAAAATAGACAACGTTTTGAACAACTTATAAGATAATGCGTAAGTAGATTCTATGGGTTTTACTGTAAAATAATCAATAAATCTGAAATTAGTTGTTTAAACTAGATTTTCTTCCTGTTAAGGGTTTCCTATTTAAGGGTTTTAACGGGGTAACCAAATATTCTAATCATTTAGCCCATAGGGAGACCCAATGACATAATTTTTCTTCAAACACTAATCTGAAAAGCAAAATCTCAATGCAGGCAAATTTAATTGTTTCTGTAACTTTGAAACGCAATTATTTGAAAACCTCTAGACAAAAAGCATCAAAGTAGTAACGAATGGAAAGAGAATTGAACGCCCTTTAAAACGATATACCACTTGGCCCCCCTTCCCATTGAAGATTCTCAGGGTGACATCTACCCCTCCTAAGGGGTTGAAACAAGGAGGCTAAAAATATTCATTTAAAGTGTCCCCCTTACGAATAAAATTGACGGGTCTTTCCGATTTTTCATATTTTTAACTACAAGAAAGATATTAAGGGTGAGAAGTTTTCAAATTGACTCCCGGTATAATAGTGTGTAGTATGTGGGCCGCTGGATGCGTTTTCGTCCGAACTGCTTCCGTCAGAAAAAGAAAAGCTCGTCCACTAGATCCGAAATGATTCGTACGAATTCGGACGAAATTATCGTCACTTCTGTTGGTCCGCAACTTTCCTGTTGGGGCTGAAATGGAACTGAACTCACCTGGTAGATTAGCAGGTTCAGTTTGCTTCTTGATCTGCTGGGTGGCAGTGTTCGGTTCCGAGGGATGAGTGGGGTGGTGGTTCTCCAGCTCGTTGGAACACATGGGCATGTTGGCTGAAAGCGTTCTCTGAATGTCCTCTTGCGACAGATCCAGAGTTTCGTTGAAAAATCCCCGGTTTATTATTGAGGAACCGTCGCTCTTGCTTACCAGCGTTCCGTTGGAGTCAGTACCTACGCAAATAACAGGGGAATGTGCCTTGATTGGCACTGAAACTGACCCAAAAAACACAACATACCAAGCAAAACCACGGTGTTTTCGCAATAATTCTGATGTTGCTTGAAGTCTGTATTGTTGGAATCGTCCGGGCCAGTGTCCATCATTTTGGAAGGAGTGGAAGGCGCACTGGACATCACCACTTCACTTTGGGACTGAGATCTGAAAATGGACCGTCTAAGAACCATCCGCAGGAGAAAGATTCCGTTTAATAGGTTAGTGAAAATGGACAGAAGCTGGTTTGGAGCCTTACATGTTGTTCCTGGATTGCGGATGTTGCTGAACAGTGGCGTTCCCGTAAATATTGCCATCGAAAAATGATTGTCGGACGTTTTCGCTTATCTCCATTTTGCTCTCCGTTGGCGGTTTGTTTTTCGCCTCTTGCTTGCTGTTGCCCGCGTGCAGACACGAAGACGTGCTGGTCGTATCCATTACTTCCTGCTTGAGCACTAGATGGCTTTGGGAGGAAATATCTCGTTGCTAAAAGCACTCGAAGCCACTTTGATCCTTACTACCTTGTTCGCTGTTCTTTGATTATCCCTCGGTTGGTGTTGCATGTCATGAAGTTGGCCACCGACACCGGATTGACCAGGTTTTGATGATTTGTACTATTGGTATTGCTGTTGAGGATCAGGAGGCCTCCACTACCTTGAATTTGCGACAAACTCAAAACCAGAGGAGGAGTATTGCTGGAACTGGATGAGCAATTACTGGCATTTTGCGCGGATAACTGGGAGCTTCGGTCTCTGGAATACACTCTTGGGGTGCTGTGGTGGTTGTTGACGTGAAGCGATCCAGAGCCGGTCGTAGAAGACACCTGGATAATCGGGAACGAGGGTTTAGATGCACAGTTGGAAACACCGTGCTGAATCATTGCCTGATTGTTGCTTTCTGAACTGGAATTTCTGGAATTTGTACTGGAGCTGGGGAGAGGAGAGCCGGACTTGGCCGATGTTATCCTGCGCATTGGATGCGAACAGCTTTTTCCATCGGCACAAGTGGAGTCTGGACAGCCGCATTCCAACTGTTTCACCTGGAATAGATTGCCTTCTTTTATTTACGATCCATGCCGGTTAATCTCGTACGTACTAAAGCTGCTTGTCTAGCCACTCGTTGTTTTTCCATTAGCTGGCTTACGATCGCTTCCACCGTCTCGGCGGTCTGCAATTTAAAATTCTGTAAAAAAACATTCACGCTGAGGGTTTTTAATCTTGAGCGGCAACTCTTGAGTGGAAATCTTCGCCTACCGATATTTCCAGTTCGTTGTTCAGGTCGGGTTCATCTTCACTAAAAAACATCGGTTTCAATTGCGACACCAACTCGTCCTTAGTCCACTCTTTCTTATCCGCCCATAGAGCCAAGTTCGGTGTTATCACAGCCAGTTTGTTGTCGTCCGGATACGGGACGTTCAGGTAGTGGACAAGGACAATGTCCGGATTCTTCAACCAAAACAAATCAAAGTGAATTTCCACATTTATTTTGTTATCTAGCGGCGATTCACTACGGACTAATACTAGGAAAATTTGATTGTTTCTTTAGTGGTTTCAAAAGTTCCGCAATTAGTCCTCAGTAAATTGAATAGAAATTGAAAAATTGACATACTACCTGAAGAAGCCAGTAACATCTGC